AAATATGACATTTGAACACGTATAAATGGGTTCAGGGTCGGTTTACCTCCCCGAAAGAGACTCCGCCCTTCGGCATAGCCTCGTTCAGGTTCCTTCCCGCCCGAAGGCAGAGAGTTCAACCGATCAGCTGAACTCCCTGCTTCCTCTTGAGGCGCAGTATTTATTACGTATGGAATAGTCCATTATGTTATTATGGGTAACGTTCCATAACAGAAACAAAAGGTGAATGAAAGAAAAAGTGAATGGAAAAATGAAAGCAAGGAGAATAAAAAAAAATGAAACATAACCACGAAGAGGGGGAATGAAAAAAGGCGAATGGAACAAAAGCGAATGAAAGCAAGGAGAATGAAAAAAAAAAGGATAATGAATACAGAAAATGAAAAAAAAAGATAACCAGGAAAAGGAGGAATAAAAAAGAGGAATTAAGCAAAAAGAACATGAAAGAAGAGGAGGGGAAAGAAAAAGACAAATGATTTCAAATTGCTGGTAAATATACAGGAAATACCGAAAAATTAAATGAAATTGTAAAAAGTGTTGTAAACTAGAAAAGGTTACTGAATGAGGAATAACCAAAACGGAAGTTAGAAATCAAATAGTAATCTTTATAACATCAACAAAGTAAAATACTCGCCAGCGCCGTGAAGTAGGTAAACCTCAACTAGTGGTGGACTACTTATACAGCACCTTACCCCCACTTACGATAGTGTCCAACTTATATAATAAAAAGAAAGAAAGATATAAAAAACAAAGAAATGTAGAAAGAAAGAAAGAAAGAAATGTAGAAAGAAAGAAAGAAAGAAAGAAAGAAAGAATAATTGAATGAATGAATTTAAATGTCATAAAAAGAAACTAGTAAGTAAACAATTAAAATCCGAATGAGACAGTTGAAGGTTCTGAAACATGATAAGGAAATATGAGGCTTGCAGGTTTTAACACGCGCCGGTTCTATACAAGCCAAGATCAAGAGACAGACACAGCGGTCAACTTCCACGCGTCAATGGATGACAGGACAAGAAGAAAAAGGGATGATAAAGAGGGATGATTACTTGGAGAATAGAAGACAGGAAATTGTTGAGAGCTGTCATCAACAACAAGTGACATGAATATGCCAAATAAATGAAGACATATAGTCACAAGATGACAGAAATAAAGTTCTATTGAAATGTCAGAAAGAAAAAGTGAATAAAATCGATAGAACAAAACTAATAAATGAGCCCCTTGATGAGATCCAAAGAAGAATCAGCAATATTATAAGTCCTGATCTGGTGGCTCGGCTTCAGTCACTTTCCCATCGTCTTAATGTTGCCTCACTGTGTCATTTTTATAAGTACTTTCATGATAGTTGTTTGGATAAGCTCTTCATTATGGTATTACTCTATGAATTTAAGTGCAATACTAGACTGGCATTAAGATCTCATCAATTTACAGTTGAGCTGGCTAGATGTAGCCGTAAGTTCTATGCTAATAGTTTCTTTTCTCGCACTTCTCGCTTGTGGAACCCCTTTTCCGGTTGCATGATTTCCGGCCAACTTTAATCTGAAAAAATTTAAATGCAATATCATTTGCTGTCTACTGTCTTCCTGAATACTCTTTTCTCTTTCTGCTCATTATGATTGCGTTCTGTTCCTAATTCTGCGGCCAGCAACACCCCATCCCCCCGCCCTGCAACCCTTTGTGTTTTAGTGGCTTTAAAGCCTTTCTTGGTGCTATGCCGATTAAAAAAAGATATAATGAAAAACGCAAACTGGAAAGATTAATAAAATCAATCTAAATATAGTGAAGAAAAACGCAAAGATAATAAAAACAATTGAGAAATCACGACACAAAATGAAAAATCACAAAGGCTATCCTTAAAATGACGATACAGCTACCCCTCTAAAATCATTAAGACAATTTAAAAACGAAATTATCAAAATAAAATAAACAAACTAGAATATTAGCTTGTTACATAAATTCGTTCGTTTCTTTGTAATTTATTTTAATACTAAGTATTTATTAATAATTCAACAATGTATTCGTTTTCCTCAGTTACGATCCACTAACTGTCCAATGCGTCTGTGATAGTTTTGACTCGAAACAATCATGAAGCCATGTTTTAAACACCACATCATTGTTCAACGAAACACCCCTCAAATTGCGAAATATGTGGTAGTTTGCTGGGTGTGGCAGAACCTCCGACCAAGACCTTTAATTGCATGTTTGGTCATGTTAGTGACGTGGGAATTGAATTGTTGAATAGTTACTGTATTGGCAGTCAGGTTTTTCAGCTGAATTACCCTGTTTAATTGTTCAACATACATCTTAGCATTGGCCATTTGGTTGTTTTGAAGCAGGTCATCTCCGTACACAGCAGAAATATCTTGAGCAGCTTTAGCAACTTTGTGACATTGATTAAAAGAAAACAGAAATAAATGTCGAATATGCTTATTCTTGTCTACTTAACATTCCATCTCAGAGCAGTGTCTAATCTGAAATAAAATTTCAATAGCGTTAAGGAACAGTTTCACGGGATGACCAGAGTTACTAAGAAGTAAAAAAAAAAAAAATTCTACGAAAGATTATACTTTGAAATCCTTCGCAGAACATCAGACAAACGAACAAATATATGCAACAATATAATAAACAGATTGAGGCTAGTAAAAATATATACATATATATTTTCATAGTGTAACCCTTTTCTTTTTTGGCTTCTCTTTTCGGGTATTTTCACCAGCTGCGCTCCTCCGCCATGTTAAAATTGCACTGAGCAGCGTTTATACAATAGACTGAATTTCACATGTTCGCGTTTTGTTTCATTACAGTAGCGCCAATAACCGGAAGTAAACTGTGACGAAACAGCCAATCAGCGATTACCAAATCACACCATAAAAGTTGATGGACATTGACTTACAGCTTTTGCTTCACGAAATGTTTAAAATACGCCGACCTAATTAAACAGACCTTGTGTTACATTCGGATGCAATGTGAGCACACTGATGAATACCTCACCTCGCAGGAGTTCGCTCCTACCGAGGTATTTGAAATAAATATTAGCTCTAGCCCCAGGCGGAGTCGTCCACCCAGGCTGTACTTCTTCAGGAGAGAGCTGGGGTCATGATCTGGGGCTGAGGCGTTCTCAAAAGGGTAAATGCCGAGGGGACTTTAGAAATTTTTTTCATGGTATTGCCGGTTAACCCACACAAATCTGACATTGTATCAGATTCGGTTGCAACGTGGGCGCACTAGTAAATACCTCCGTCGCAAGTGTTCCCTCCTGCCAGCGAAGTTGAAATTAATATTAGTTCAAGACCCAGGGGCGATCATCCAGTCAGGTAGTAACTCCTTCGGGAGAGAGCTTCTGTCATTACCGGGTGCATTTTTTTCATGGTAGTGCCGGTGAACCCACTTTATTCATCGACCTTGTGTCATTTGGTAGCGACGCGGGTGCGCCTAAAAAAATCTACCTTAATAATGTTCTAACACTTACTACGTGGGCAAGAGGATAAATATCTACTTTCCCCGCGCAGAAATTCGCTTCTGCCGGTGTAGCTGAAAATAATGATAGCATGATCCTCAGAGGATCGGGGTATCTACCCAGGTAGTACTCCTTCGAGAGGGATCTGAAGATATTACCCATCACTGGAGGCGTCACCTAAAAAGGGATGTGCCAAGGGGGCTTGTGCAATTTTTCTACGGTATTGAGGAAAAAAAGGAACACATTGACTTTTGAAAACCTAATTTTGAAGCTAATTTGACTATATTAAAGGGATATATAGTTTGGCCAACGGCGTAGCTAGGGCCAGCAGTACATACGCTGATTTTATATCTCGTGTATGATACGACCCCCTTAAAATTAGCTTCGAATTTAGGTTTTCAAAAGTCACATGATACGCGAATATATACGTCAACTACTCATAACGACAAATAATAATCCGAATATAAATAATGATAACTCCACCTCCCAGATATTCTAACAAAAATTCAAATTTTCTTTCCTCATTATAGCTCCCAAAATTTAGATATATTTTTCTCATTGCGAGTAGCATGTTCATAGCGGTTTCTATGCTTCTCTAAAACATCCTAATTTTCCACACGCTCACTCCATGTTATTCCAAGTGAACCGCATCCCTGTTGCTTTATTTATGCTTTCTTTATCTATGATGCAATGATGTTTAATATTTATTGCAATATGATGAGCACGAGTTGTTAGAACGTTCGCATTCTGACAACGAGACCCGGGTTCGAATCTCACCATAGTCGATTTGTTACCAGACTGGAGGGGTCGATCCCAGCATGCGGTTACGTTTGGAAAGTGCCTGAAAACCATACCACGGGTTGATCCAAGCCTTGGGGGCCGTCAATAGCCGTGCTAGCACGAAGTCATCGTGACCGAGATTTAGAGTGTGATGGCCTTGTTCAAATTGCTGATCACGCTAGATAACAAGCTATTTCCCAGAAACTGTAACTAAGGTCTGCTCAGCATAGTTGTAGTATAAACCACAGAGAGGATCTGTGGGTTTTGAATAAACACAAATGTGCCTGAGCAAACGTCTACAATAGGGATTGTTTATCTTCGAATACAAGTGGCCAGCTATGCATACATTGTAATATAAGAGATTAGATATTACGTATCAGTCCAGCATTCGTTTCTTTGTTTCTGAGTACATTTTCATATAACTTAATACATTGCTTAATTTCTGGAAGGCCCCATTCCTTAATACTCTGCTTTCGGGTTTCTACCATATTTTTCGTTGTGTTCTTACTGTACTACACAGATAGTTAAATTCCCACATTTTTTTATTTTGAAATCCCTGATATATAAGTCAAACATTGGTTGATTGTTCATTGATTGATTCGTTTATTACAGCTAATTAACACTTTGTAGGTTATGTAAAGCCAAAAATATGTCTTCGAGATAATAATAATTTAGTGATACAAGTGTTACTAATTAATTGGGACTCGGCTCTTTGATTAACAATTCCGAGTCATTATTCATATAATCATCCATCACACAACCAAAATTGCGGTACTTGGTATGGTCAAATGATCACCCATCTAGCTACTGACCAGGCTCGACGTTGCTTAACGTCGGTGATCTTACGGGAATTGGTGTTTTAACGTGACGTGGCCGTAAGACGAAAGTGGGATTGAAGGAAATATTTTAATACTGCCGGCATTTATATTTGATAGACCTAAGTAGCGTGATCTCTCTTATATCCCTCGGTTAAGATAGATAGTTGTTTTATGGGCTGTGTTCCTTCAGGACGTCGGCGATCAGGACTCTCCACAACTTCCTGTCCTTTGTAGCCCTCAGTAAATCTTGTCTTTTTCTCCTAACCCATGTTCGGCCAACCATTTACAAAGCTCGTTATGTAAATCAGGTGCCGCTTTCCTCTGTCGCTCTCGCCTGCAATATTTCCTGCGAGTGTCAAAATTTACAAGCCTTCTTTCCTCATTATAGGTGCTAGAAATTTCAACCGATTTTTTTTTCAAGTGTATTTGAGTGTAAGTGAATACAAGGAGCCCAACTAAAATTAGAACTCGCCTCTCCGGTTAACAATTACATTATCCATTTCGTCACCCGCACATCCCAGCTTGCAGCACCTGGTATTCCTAAGCTGTCATCCATCTACGTACTGACCAGGTTCGACGTTGTTTAACTTTGGTGATCTTACGAGAACCGGTGTCTCAACATGATATGGACGTAAGTCAAAGCATTGGGTTGCTACTTTTAATGACAGCCATGCATTTCTAACTTTTTGGAGTTGGCGGCAAACTGAGCAAACGGAACGAATTGCACTATGACAAGATCTTGAAAACCGATTTATTTTTTTCCTCATTTGCCAGTGTCTCTGACGGGTTCCACTTTTCACATCGGCGTGGATTCTTAGTATTTTCTTTTTTTATTTCGACATCTGCTTTATGCAGAAGCAGTCCCCAAACAAAAAAATGGTGAAACTAACGTAAAAATAGATTAGACAATTTTACAGATTTTTTTTTCTTTTTTAGACTACTTTTTTGTTGCCAGTCGCTTCGGCGTAAACTACATTGTATATTCACATGAACGTATCAATAAGTAATAACTAGCTAAGATGTCTACTTAAGCGCTTCATATGAATCGTATTCTTCAGGCGCCACAGATGTCGCACCAAGAATCAGTAGAAAACAATAGGCTGGGAATATACAGATAAAAGCTTTTTAATGGAATGTCGCTATCATCACCGAAGGCGTAAAATACAAGATTAGATCTATTTTTTCATCTGGGTCAATCAATTACCTTGTAGACTCCCCTGTAATGTAATGGCTGACCGTTTGCATACGAGTATTCCTGGCTGGTAGGACGGCTAGCCAATCCCTATTGCAGAGGTCTACTCAGGCACATATGTGTTCGTTCAACACCAACAGAGCTTACCTGTGGTTTATACTGCAACTCTGCTGAGTCGACCTTAGTTACAGTTTCTGAGAATGAGTGCATTATCTGGCATGATCAAACCCTCGGTCACGATGACTTGTGACTTCGTGCTAGTTCAAGCATTGGTGGCTTCCAAAGTGTTCCGTCTATCCAATATCATTGACAAGGATTTGACCAAACCGTGGGATGGTTTTCAGTCACTTTCTAAAGGTGCTAAACGCTGAGGCTCTAACGCCGATAACATCAAGGTCACCTTCCTAAAAAAATCAACCATAGAGAGGTTCGAACCCTGGACAGTGAACGTTCTAACCTCTCGGCTACGTACTCAACATTCCCTGTAGATTACAGAGCAACAATTGCACTAAGGTTTCTGCAGCAGATAGGTTTTCACAGATAACTATAAGTGGACCCCCTCCCAAGAAGGCTGGATTTTAAACCATTGGCGATTTTCACTAAGGAAGATCATTCGTGTAAACATCTTTTGCTTTTGAAACAGGAAACGTTCATAAGATTTTTCTTTTCTAAAAAAGAAATGTTTTCATTTCCATAGGAATAAATTAGAAATAAATCCCACCCTGCGACATATGTTAATCACACTGTCGTCACCCGGTAAAATCCTTTCCAGATTGAAATATTATCAGCTAGTCACTCCTGGGTAACATCTGTAGTGTTCTACTGGAATATTCACGCCCACCCTTTCCTTTAGTACCTCTATGTAAGCGATGGCAAAGATCCTGGAGCCTTATCAGAAGCCATCATAGACTATGCGAATTTGATGCCCACTGTCTCTCAGTTGAATTTGCATACGTCCAATTGGTATTCCTCCTGTATATCTGGCCACTTTTTAAAATCTCCAGCAATCTCCCAGCCTCTGGGGTTGACGGCCTGTATCACGAACAAGGATTGTCTTTTTTATTTCTTGACAGATTAGACCAGTCAAGGGCAAACTGCAGCTTGCGGGCCACATGCTTCTCGTTTTGTCTTTCTGAATGGCATACTTCATTTCATAAGGAAAATTGCGTTTGTTAAAATTTTATTTTATTTCATACTCACTTGTTCACTCACAGACTCTTTCATACATAGCCAAATGCATAAGCAATGAATAAAAACAATGTTTCTTGAATTTTGTAAAAGTAACCTGGTCAGCATTTTAAACGATTGGCGATCGTCACTAAGGGAGATCATACTTGTAAATATCTTTTGCTTTTGAAACAGAAAACGTACATAAGAAGAAATGTTTTCATTTTCAAATGAATAAACCATAAATAAATCCCATGCAGCGACATGTGATTCACTATTCCAATGGGCCTTTGAATTTCAACTTTCATTTTTCGCCCACGACTTAAAACATTATCTAGAGATAGTGGCATTCTAGGTTAAGCCGTATTCTAGTCAATGTATAAGTTAAGCTAGTCTAGTTTAAACCCAGTTTAGGATATAGGCGCTTAAGTTTCCTTTCCCCATTTAATAAGGTGTATGTTATTGTCTTCACACATGATAGTCGGGATTTTATAGATCATGTCATGTGACACTATAGTGAGACTGATAGTATGAAATTACGATTAAAAGGGTTCATGTGGAAATCCCCTATAGGAATTGAATTATTGGAAGGGTTAAAAAGGTTCAAAACGTTAAGGCAAAAAAAATGAATTGAAATATGAAGAAAGAAAAAAATTAGAAATGTTTTTTTTCCCCAGATAAACTGAATGTCAAATGGAATTGTTATGAATCCGCAAAGCCAAAATGTAAATAATAAGATTTTAGTCGGCCATATTGAAGGTCGACGAAAAAGTGTAATCATTGACGTCAGAGAAAATAAATAATTCTTAAACACAAAAGTTTATTATCGAAATATTATGGTTGTCGAAAGATTGTATTGTTTTTGAATAAGTGACGGCTTTGTTTGAGGGTCGGTGTCGTTTCTCCAAGGTTGGAGAAAATAATTAACTGATATGAATATTGATGTCCCGGGGTGCGGTTGGAGATGCATAAAAACAGAGCGCTTAGCTGAAGCCAACAGTTGAAAGCACGAGAAGCCACGAAAAGTCGACAGAAGGCTCGAGAGGCCGGCGGTGGCCGGGAGAGGTCTGCAGAGGTCAGAGGAGACCGCGTGACCTGCCGCCAAGTGAATTCTCCGCCGTTCTTTTTTCTTTTGTATGTTTTTAACCTTTCCAGGTTTTAGAAGCAAGTGGCACAGTGTCATGATAGAGAGTTTAACGGGAAGGGTTAATTTAGTTGTATTAACGACGATATAAACCAACTGAAAATTGACCCAGCGACCTTCTCCGTTATTTGCTATGATATTTGTATTCTTGCCACCGGAATGGTTCTTTGTCCTTTGTAACACTGTCCCGCCGTAGCTCGTTTCAGCGCTCAAGTACGAACGAATTTCGGTCTTCAATGCTCTGTGATCAAGTAGGGAAAATGGGGCAGGACAAATGAGGAGACGAAGCGGCGAGCAGATAACCGTCAGTTGACAGGCGGCAGTATTGACCACCGCGGGAAGGACCCAGGATACAGCTGGGCCAGCCGTGTTAGAGTCAGACGTCCGCTGAGATTTCATGTGTACCTTCTATAGACCTCAATTTTAATCCAATTACTTGATTTTCACATTAGTAGGCTTAATTTTTGGGTGCCTTTTCATTTTGGTCAAAATGGTTGGACATATTTATTTTGGAATATGTTAGATAATAGTGTTAAACGTGCAGCAGTTTCTTGTATGCCTTCTGCTACCCTTAATTCTATTACAATTCCTTAGTTTGCTTATTAGTAAACCTAATTTCTAGGTAACTTTTGTTTTTCGTCAATATGATTGAAGAATAGTCTCTTTTATGATTGAATAATATAGTGTTGTGTGTGGAATATAAAGGGCACGATTTAATTTAATTTGCTAACGAACTGTTCACTTTGACATCTAGTTTGGTTTGGTTTGGTTTATTTTGTTTAACGGCATATCAACCATAATGGGTTATTTAATGCCAACAAAAAACGTTATTGCTGGTAATATTTTGTTTTGTCAAATATCTGTTTCTGGTAATATATTTCCTTCAAAATTGTATTGCTGGCAATAATTTTTTTCATAAAAGTATTGCTGGTAATAGTTAACTATTTGCCCATAGCTGGGGCCCTAACAGGTGCTACCACCCCCGGCCAGGGTGGACCTGGGAACACCAGCAATTAAGAGGTGGTTCCACGCTCCTCAAAACTTCCTGAGCAGTTTAACGTCTTACACAGGACGCGGGTGTAATTTAACGTCTTACCCAGGACGATCTGACATCTATTGTAAAATATATATGGCTGCTACATGCCATAGTAAAAGGCTTGTCTAACTGGCCCCAAGAGCGAACCCGCTGGAATTCCAACTCATGGTAAGGTTGAAGAGGAAGGACCAGACTGAACGCAACCAAGCCCCGAAGTCTCCAACGGTGGAATAGGCAAAGATATACACGATCTTAAATATAGTGAAGAAGAAATTTGGAAGTGGGCAGCGCCAGTCGGGCTGGCGTAACCAAGGCGGACCCAGAAAGATCAAGCATCCGACAACCAGATGAAACCAGTTTTGAATATCTCGCCTGTCTCGAGTCGCGAGGGAAGTGATACTGGCCAAGTTTTGTGAGCTTCTCCGTCGCGCAAAGTTGTAACCAAATTCACGCGAATGGCATCGTCAAACGCTCTTTGATTCACAGCCACCTCCACAATCGCCACCTGTGGGGGTAGAAAAGGGGGAATAGAGAGAGAAAACGACGATCACGAGACTCGGATTCGAGCCGGTGCCAGATTTTAATCTGTTATGAGCAAGTCTGTATATTACAGGACTCTTTGTTTAATTTTGCCCAACAGCTGTGTTAATCGACCAAGATTGATTCCTTTATACATACATTGATAATTGATTATTTCTAAACGAGTACATTTCAACCATTATTAACAGCTCGTTAATTGAAAGATTCACATGACCCAGTTAAGAAAAATAAATTTTTGATCTTTATCTATAAAAGGCGTGTCTGTGTGTGTGTAACGAATGCATGGCCGCAATTTTCAACGAATTTGCACCAAAATTTACATGCACATGATCTAAGTTAGCGGGAAGGCCAAGACCGACTTTGCATTTCCCAACTCCCATCGATAGTGAAAATAATCGATTTTTTCATGCTTCTACGGCACTTTTCATGTAGTTTGCGGCCATTTTGTATTGGCCAGAGTGAGAGCCTATAGCTGACTGCCACGAATAGGCAGGAAGATTCTATTGGCCAGCGTGAGAGCCAACAGCTGAGTGACACGAATGTTAACTAGCATGCT